CAAGGAAGATGCGAAGAGATGCGGATTGCCGAAAGGAGACAGAGAGCAGTTCGCTTCACTCACTCGATTTCTGGATTACAGATTAATATTTGACTCGGGTTCATTAAGTTTCAAATATGATCTGATTCGTTCACCGTATTAATTAATAATCCCTAGAATTCGGATAGAATTTTAGCTAGCCCGATTTCACGTTCAACAAGCGCCTCTAGCGTTTTGACATTTGACTATATAAAAATGGAGGGCAAAAAGAGAGAAAGTATTGTCGAAAACACCAAAGATAAATTAAGTATTAGTTAAGTATTACATAGACAGGAATGCAGTAAAACTTACCGCTACATTCCGCTCTGCCGTGTTGGTTTGAGCCACCAGTAATAAATGGCCCGGTAAAGCAGTTGCTCACTCAAATTGGCGCCAAAAAGGGCGCGCGCACTGCTTTTCAGTTTAATTTGTTTCTTTGCTCCATTTTCCATATTTTACATTCCGCATAATTATGTCATTCCGCAAGCCATGCCACATGCCATTCCGCAAACTCATTCCGCCTTTTTTACCCTCACCGCTAGTGGCCCACATTTCGACTGAGAAGCGACTTAGTTTCAAACGTCGAACTTTTCATATGTTGAACCTAATGCATAAATTACTGTAATTTATTTTCCACCGGTAAACAATGACCACTGTGCATCGTAAAAATCAAAAGAGGATGAAGCTGTCTTGGTAAATTTGCATTAATTTCGACGTCCCAATCAACCGTCGAACTTACATCATTTGGGTCGACCCAAATAGCTATTAAGTTCAGTACATGAAAAGTTCGAAGTTAGAAGGCTGGGCCTGGGAATCTACCGATCAACGGTTCGACTGTGATTTAATTTCTGACTTCATTCCCGACCGTCAAACCCCGCCGACGGACTGACTAATGTACTGATCAACTGACAATGCAAATGAATGACTGCGATGAATTTTTTCTCGGTTTCTTAACAGACAGATTCTTCACCTCCATCCACATCAAGGATAATCTATGCTCTGGTTTTGAAGTTTCATACCGACAGACGCTACAAGAAATTGGACGGTTTGTCTCCTGCCACCTGTATTTACCATTTGATATTTTACAGCTTACGCACTTTTGTCGATCTCTTAACTAAGTTCTACTTGGTTTCTTTATCAGATGTCCACATTTCTTACCTATCGACAGCAAAGTCTTCTAATCCTTCCGAAGGTAATAAAGCAATTTTTAATCCCAGGTAGCGAGCGGCTTACAGACACTTCTAAGCTCAGTTTAATTTTAGTCTCTGTGCTGTCCACTCTAGAGTTAGGAAATTACAGAGACTTGCGGGCGGAAAACAGTTGCTAAGGCTATGTTCTAACTAAATCGGACAGCTTTTTCGCCGGCACGAAAACCATACTGGATATTGCTTCTGGCCACACATAAAAATGGTGATTTTGGCGCGATTTCTGTAACGTAGCGAAGCTGCGCTGCGCCGATCTCGAAAATGTAGCGTCACGTATTGGATAGGTTGTATGCTACACTTTGTTGCAGTGTCAATAGGTTTTCGGAGCGTAGCGGAAGTGAATAAGTAGGAAAGATGTCTAGAGTGAGGATTGGGATTTAGAAAATCAAACCCTGTCGGCCAGCCACCCCGGCATGATGTTCGATGTGTGTGAACGACTTGTTTCAGTTCTTTGCCGTTGCTGTTCACACCATAACGGATAGCTTTAGTCGACACGAAAATCTATCTGGTGCAGTGTGAACATACCTAAGACCAGCAGGTTGTCACAGAGACAGAAGTTCGCCTTTGATAAATAAAAGAAAGAAAAAAAAGGCGTTTGTACGTATTAATTTTGTTTCTTTTTTGCTGATCAGGTTGTTGCCAGGTTACAGTCAGTTTTCGTCCTCTTGATCCTGTACCAGCGATATTTGAAGTTAGGTAAGTCTCATCGGCATGACGTTTGCGGGGATACTCTTGAATCATAGTTGCTCACGCAATTTTGGGTGATACACCCTAGCTGTCCTAGCAAGAGAAAACCCAAATTTGGTCTCGTCTGTATCGAACGCTGTAGTTTTCCTTCTCTAAAATTGTGAGCTTTATCTGTGCAGAGGTTTGAAACTGACATTACTCGGAGTTATTTCATGGACTCGGCGAAGTATCTGGATTTTTCAATTGTTTCTTGTACTTGTTTCTGCGGGCTCAATTTTTCTTTGTTTCCACGCTTGTCACGATATCGCCAAATGGAGAGCTTGGTCGCAGGCTAACCACACTACCTTAAAACATAAAAATAAATTTGAACTAAAAGTAAACGAAAGACAATGCTTTCGCTTATTCATAAAAAGTCTTATGTCTTATCATTATTATTTCTTATTTTCTATGAAGTTTTGATTGTCGAAGCGCCCGCTTGGATTAGCTTCATTGATTTATCAACAAAACTCAACCGTTGAGAAAAAATTAACTGGTATACTTTTTTTCAGGGCTGTTTTTAATGAAGAGAGTGGTCTCACATGTGCAGTAACACTGGATGACTTGCCAGTTCAGTTTTCGGACTTATTTACTCCCCTTCGCGTTCCAGATAAATTCAAGGTAAACGTCTTTTTGCTTTTTTCACTTTGTGTGAAGTAATTTTTTTTGAGTCCCATACTGAACCAGCTATGTTTCCCTGCCCGCCTAGATAAGTTTATCTACTATTTGCAGGTCAGTGTAATTGTTTTTCAAAATTGTGTTATAGTAAACAATAAAAGAAATAAATCCGTCCAGAAAGTCGTAACAATGTTGACTTATTAATTATCTACGGATTAAACAAGCCAGTCCCCTGCAGCTTATTGATTTTAGATGTGTTACTGTAGACCTGCCCACATCATGTTGTCAAAGGAAAACTATTTTCTGTGCTGTGGGACTATATCACCAAAGTTCAACGAACCAGGTAGGCGGTTATTTGTTTCTCAATAATTAATTCCACTTCACTGCATAACCACCGTACTCTCTGCTTGAAAGTGATGAGGAAGGGATGGGAGGGAAGGGAGGGGAAATCAAACGATCAGACTCGAAAGAACAGCGCGCAAATCTTCGTCGAATAATACTTAAGGTAATAGAGAGATACTGTACTCTTCCTTTTTTAGCATGTGTTTTAGCATAAAACGAATTCCGAGAATAACCTTGCTGATGAGACTTCCTAAAGGATTCCTTTCGCTAGGCACGACTTCTTCCCACGACTTTTAATTAAAAGGTTAACTTCGGGCAACAGAAACTAGTCTGCCGACTCTACAATCAAACAACGCTTTTTTCCATTGTAGGATTTTCTTTGGTGGGAAAACAAGGAGTCCATGTTTTGATCTTTCCTTTCGTTGGCTGATAAAATTAATAACGAAAACTTAGGGGAACCACTTCTGATGGTCAAATGACAATCGCTTTATATCGGATCTCAGTCTTACGACGGTACAAGAGTCTTACGTCCAATTTCTATATTGCAGTGGAAACCTTACAGGTACTGGGGCCGAGTCCGTCGTTTGCCTCACTGTGGAGTGGGATCACATAAAAAAGATAATCGAGGAACGCTTACTTGCTTTTGTTATAAGTACTTCTGGTAAGGATTTCTTGACTGATACCATTAGTTCTGTACTGTCAGTGTTTTCTTCGCCGATCTCCAAGCATGTTTATGTTTTTAATCGATATTATTTCTTGCCAGATAATGAAATACGACTTGGGATATTCTTGCCACCTCTTCAACACCTCCTACTCGAATTTCGTCCTCTCAATCAAAAAACTGTAGTTTCCGTGGCAACGGATGATTGGCGACTGCTTCAGCTGGTGGAATCTTACCTTCTTCAGTTTGAGCGGGTCAGCGGATAAGGCGTGGCATCTAATTAAACTTGAGAAGTTTGGCACGTTGATCCACTTTGGTCAAGTTGTGGACTGGCATACGAGCTGTGACGAAAGAGGACCAAATTCAGTGATTGAACCGTTAGCTAAGTAAAGAGGTTATTTTATTCGACAATGTTGTTTAGGTATCAAATCAGAAATGGTCCGTACACCTGTGGATTGAACAATTTTTAATCGTTCACACCCATCTGTGCGAGAACTGTAACTCAAAGGAGTCCGTTTGACAAGAAATGAAAGGAAGATTCTGAAGTATTTAAGAAGAAAATTAAGCGATAAAAACACAATGTTTCGACGACCTCTAGTGGTTATTGTAAGTGTCATGAAGTTAAAAAAGATGGTAGTTTGGTATGTACGTACAGAAAGTCGAAGTGATATTGTTGAATATTTATAGCATTGAGAACCTATCAAATAATGAAAAATGCTCCCTAAATTAGATTTACCTTTGGTGATGATGGTGAGTATTCATCTAAACGTTATGTTTTATCGCTTGCCTTTCGTTTAAAATTTTTCGCAAAAGATAGTGAAGTAAATAAGTAATTTGTAAATAGACAAGAAAGAAATTTTGTATGAAAAAAAAAAATTAAAGAAAAGATGGCATGCAAACCTCGTGTATTAGGTAGTTATGAATTTTAGCAATGAGCTCGTAGTTTGCAGCTCAGACTTAACAGGACTTTTCTAAAATTTAACGGAAAGTAAATTTAAACTGAGTGTTTTGTTCATATTGCAAGTAAGGTAAAGAGTTAATAAACCTTCTATTGAACAAACAAGCGAGAGTATATATTTAACACAATTCTTTTTGCGATTCTTTGTTCTCCTAATAAGATTGTTCTCACAAAGTTCTTTTAAAATCACTATCTCAATATATTATTACTCCTCGCCCGGGTCACCTCTTATAGCTACATCAGTTGTAACAAATGGTTCCTTATAATACATGTATGTACTTAACGTTTTTGGTTTCGTGCCGGTACCCTGACAGATATACACAACATATACATACAAACAGGTTTTGGTAAAAACATTCTCAGTTAAGAAATGGTTATTCTTAGTGTCTAAACAATGGCAATGACCTTTGCGAAATAGAAATTTGCTGAAGCGAGCGGTTCTATTGTTCAGTTACGATTTTTTTTTGCGTGGGTTTTAGCGTAAGGTTGTAGGCTGCGGCATTTCAGTGTCCGGTAATGATTTCAGCCACTGAACGCATTTTTGCCTGTAGTCCTGAAAGTGAGATTCTCTTTCCAGGGAGACTACTTCGGACGATTTTCCATCATTTTTTCTTGTTATAGCTGTCTCGTCAGGATTGTCTTTCTTTCTTGATAACTGCTTCTTTTTAGACTTGACACCCCTTGTCTCTTGTCTTTTATAAAAACCGTTACCTTGTTCATGAGTCTGCACTCTCGTGTTGGCCTTGACATTAATTACGTTCACACCATTATGTCTATCGTGAAGGGCTGAAGTTTCACTTATCCGCTCTGACTGTCGGCTCTCCTTAACCTTTTTATTTTCCTGTAGCCGCGGCTGGCTTGTACCAGGGGCCTTCTTTTCTAGAGTTGGCGTTTTCATCGCTCCCATACTTTGCCTGCGCTCTAGTAACGGACTTCGGTAGGCAATTTCTCGCCGATAACTTATGGAACTTTGTACAGGTTTAGCTATAAAGGTTTCCGGTAATCTTGTGACTGGTTGTACTTCCTGGATTTCCTTGACGTCATGTTCTATGTTCCTTGTCTTTAGAGCCTCGGAGCCGCCGAAAGTGCCCCTGCGAGGAATAGATCCCTTTTCTTTATACTCCAGGGATATCACCGATTTCTGCGGAACCAGCAAGGGCATGCTGCCGTATTTTCTTGTCAGGGGTACTGAAAGAAACTGTTTTGTATTTGCCATCTTTGTTTTAATGTGCTCTTCCCCTTGAATTGAGACTAGAGAAGAAAAAAAAAAACAAACGTAAGTCGTAGAATAAGCAAGTTACTGATTTTTAATTCTTCACTAAACTCAGTAGCTGATGCAAACGTTGTGTCCAACAAAAAATTCGAACAAATTAGTAAAGGTAAGAAAAAACGGGCAGCAAAAACGTGCAACTTGTTTTGCACTGCTGCTGCAAAACAATTTGAATAGCGATGTTGCGCGTTTTACCACCCACATCAAACCTGTCTTGCAACAAATCAGATTGTTTTAAAATCTGCTCGAGAATGAAAAATAATTGTACTGATGGATTATTTTGTAACCAAGGTTTTATTTACCTTCAGGCAAATTATAATTTGGAATAATTGATTTAGGTATAAGTAGCATTTGTTTTATTCCACTGTCTCACCACTGCTAACGTAAAGTATGACAAAAAGATACAAATGCAAGCGAGCTCTCTTCAGTGTACGTTGAAATAATTGTCTTTCAGAGGCGCGAGTTAACAAGAACAATTGCACCTTTCTCTCTTCCTCCGCATCTTGTGTATTTTATTAGACATTTTAAAGTCAGTAAGTTTAGGATTCTGTCCGGCAAGCAAAAAGGCCGACCAAATGTGTCAGCGTTGTTTTATCTTTATTCGTTTACTAACACCTGTGCGTGTTTTTTTTTTAATAATTGAGAAATATCTACAATGTTTCAGCCTAGTTGAAAAATAAAAGAATACTCAAAGGTACGAAAACATGGAGATCTTAACTAATATCGTTCCTGTAATTTGTATATTTTCCATTTTGTCGTTTTTGTGGTTTTATTATCTCATTTAATTTTCATTTTCGTTTTTTAACGACTTTTATCTTCACCTAAAATCATCGTTCACAGTCTTTCTTGATCGAATTCGGGATGTAAAAAATTTTCAAATTTTCTTCGTTGTACTCGCGGTCTTGATTTCCAAAAATCTTTATTTTTGTGTCAACTCTTTAAAAGGATTTAATTGTCAAAAATGTCTTGAATATAGTTTCTCTATTTCGATAAGCGATCCATAGGGAATAAATATCAAAAACTATTCGAACATGAGTAGTTTATATCAACGAAGGAGTTTTCAGTCACGGTCAAATCCGTTGAAATTATATTATTAATTTACGCTAGTTAATTTATGATACTATCAAGGAGACTTTCCTCAGTGTAAATTGCAAAAACGCCTGGAATATTTAGGTTTACTTAGCACATTTCGTGTACCTGATACTAGGATACAATTGAACATGATTAAAATCGACAGAGCAGCTCTAACCTTTGATTGGCTTCGTTATTTCGAAGGGCAAAAATATTCATTCGCTTGTGAAGTTCAACCTCTAGGTATTTATCGTGTGTTTTTCGTGCTACAGCTTTCGCTCAAGGCTGCTTCGGTCCTTATACAGTTTATATATGGAAAAGTTCTTAATAAACAATGTCTTTTCGCTTAATGGGTTTAACGTTATTCCAAACGCATTTATGTTATACGTCATTGCGGAGGCGGTATTTTGTATTTTTAACTTTTTTTAGCCTCTAGATGTCATTGGTTTAATATTCTCGACGCCTTCAAATCATAAAGATACTGACAAAAACAACAGGCTGCTACCGAAAGGAAAACTGAAGATAAATGAAATTCGCTTGATTCACATTCACCGCAAGAGATTTGCTGTTGGCAGGTGTTGTAAGGAGTTTCCGGCCTAAATAAGTTAATAATTTCGTGACTTGGATAAATTCGCTGTGTGTTTATAAACGATGAATCGGATGCTTTTAAACGCATTTGGTTTGCGTTCTTTACAAAATGTTTTACGGGATATTGTGTTTTGGCTCAGACCTTTTGTGTTTCTGCCTAGCCAAGAAATTAGAGAAAGACGTTCTCGCGCAGTTAGTCGCCAGTTGTCGCCGTCTCCTTATGAAACATTTTTTTTAAAATATTCGCTTCGTGGCTAAGGCATTCTATTCACTTTTGCTTTATTACGATAGGCAGTATTTGAACCCGACCATGGTCCAATGGTAACTTAATTCCTTCAAGGACGAGATTTTGTCGCATTTCATCTTTGGCGTCCGGTTATAGATAACGGAGTGACACTGGCGGTAGTTAAAGCGGCAACACGTGTGGCTTAAGATAAGCTCACAACAGAGGAATAAATCATATTTTCAGGGAACATTTCAGTTGTCTTGATGTCCAACTCCAAGTGAAGAAATTTAGCCATACAAGCACGGTGAAACGGCGGGAATAATATTGAATCAGAGGTCTGCTTACTATTGCTTTGTTTTTTGGTATGATAATGAGTTTGAAAAAGAGGATGAATTTAAACACAACACATCCGTACATTCAGAAGAGCTTGCGCCTTTTCTGGGTTTAACAGCAACGTTAACCTTTTCTATTAGTTTTGCGGAATTTTTATTTTCGCAGCAGATGTGAAAAACCTCATTTAGAGCTACAAATTTAACTTTAGAATCATGCTATGAAATAAAAACGAAGAGCGTCACTGGTACGTTTTTGTGTGTAGAAGTTAAATTTTCTGAGCAGTAAATTGCCTTGAGGAAGATAAAATTCTAGCAGTGTTTTTTACGAAAACTAAGAAAGGCAGAACATTTCCAGTGCTAATTTTTCCACGGTTTAGCAAAGCGAAGTTTCAACGATACACTAACACAGAGAACATAAAGAAGCAAAACACCCACGCGAAAATAACAAGCCTAAAGGGCATAAATCGGTTCCTTTTTGGTTGAATGACATTATACAACTATTCTCATAACAGAAGCACATACTTCAGTGATATGCGAGTAATACACATACCCACTCTCCGAAGACAACACGTAAATATATTTCATTTCGTATCATTCATGAAATCTCTAAAATAGTATCCTCTAGTATAGGTGCTCTTAAGCGGGCCAGGCCATTTGTTTCAATGCACACTGCAATTAACATATACAAACGTCTTATCGAGCCACACTTCGATATTTGCAGCGCTGTATGGGATTGCTTGACCCAACAGCTTAGTGAGAAACTTCAAAAACTTCAAAATCGTGCTATCAGAGTTATCACCAAATCTAGCTATAATACTAGTTCCAGATTTCTTCTTAACTCGCTTGGTTGGGACAATTTATCGGTTCGAAGGGCTAAACAAAAGGCTAATTTAATGTACAAGTGCATTAATAATCTCGCCACAGCTTATCTCTGTAATTTGTTTGCCCCAAGAACACCGAATTATTATTTTCCCAACGCGAAGAAAAAATTAATGCTCCCAAAACCAAGAACTGATTACCTGAAGCTTAGCTTCAGTTACAGTGGCGCTTTTCTATGGAAGAATCTTCCTGAGGAAATGCGTACATCAAATTCCTCAGGTCTCTTTAAGAGAAGTTCCCATAGATGGTTTTCTGATCAGTACTCCCACACGGCAAATATGTAAAACAGTTTTTGAGAATTTTTTATTAATTTTCTATGTTAGACTGATGTTTTTAACCGTGTATAAATAAAGTTATCATTCATTTATTCAGTCATTTTTGCTTCTTTCGAAAGGCAACTCATTTGTTAAGCTACGTGCAAAAAGACGCAACCAACAATGTTGGGAGTTGTTGCGTTCGTTTGCAAGTCACTACATGTATTATATTGGTTGCGTTCGATTGGGAAATCCGGATTTAGATTTTGAAAACGGATTTCACTTCTAAGAAATCCGTCCTCATGGTAGATTTCAATTCAGAAATCCAAATCCGGATTTCATGGATTTCATTTTACCGTTCGATTGGGGATTTGCAAAACTATTCTTGTGAACAGTGGTCTTCTTTTTGTGAACGGTTCGAACCCAGGTTTCATTTCAAAAGTACGTTGAGTTTGATCGTCCGGGTGAACGTAGTCGTGAATAGGACTGCTGTTGTTGTTGACAGTGACTGACGTTTCGACAACCTGTGCAGTAGTCATCTTCAGAGTCGAGGTGAGTTGTATCACGTCAGTTGATGGTATTATACTCTGGTTATTGGTGTGATTGGTCAATTACGTTGCGATGTTATTGGTCGTCTTTCAGTTAAGCCGTCATGTTATTGGCTATGAAGACTCGTAATCAGTAATTGGTGCGTTTCGATTCGTCTGTTGTCACAGTTAAACAGTCGTCTATTCTGAGTCAAATTGTCAGTTCTCCAGTCGTTTTCTCGCGGTTAGTTTTGCTTGATCTCGTCAATAAGTCGTTTGTACGGCGCTGGTAACTGTTGGCTACGATTCAGTGGCGTTTTTCTAAGTTAGTAAACCAGCTTTCTAAAGTAAGACGTTGATAGTAGTCTGTAGAATACGTTATACATGTCGCAGAGTCCCTGTCAATTCGATGTTTCGTCTGTAACTGGTACTCAGCAATGTGATTGTTCACGTCACCATCGTCGCTCGTTTGTGTTCGGTCAGTCGCGTGCTTAGGTTTCTGCCGGTTTCACCAATGTAAGAAGCCTGGCAGTCGCAGCATTTGATCTTGTATACTGCTCCCTGTCTATCCTCCGCTTTGTCTTTGTCACTGACATTGGTAAGCAGTCGCCGTAAAGTGGTTATCGGTTTGTGTGCAGCACGTATATTTTAAGGTTGTAATATACGTGCAATAGTTTCAGAGGTGCCTGTGATATGCCTCTGATAGTCGCTGTCGTAACAGGGCCAGAGTTGGTCTGAGTGTTGGAATCAGTGTTACTGTGAGTGTTCCGTCTAACAAAGTCCGTGTTGTAATTGTACTTACTAAAAACGTTGTTAAGATAATCAGTCTCGTCTTGTAAGCTGTCAGGTGAGTAGCAAACTAGTTGCGCCCGTCTCGTCAAAGTTCCGATAGTAGTTACTGTAGCCTTGTGAGAGGTCGGGTTGTAGGAAGACTGGTAGTAATCGGTCGGTATGTGTCGCTTTTCTGTAAATAGTCGTTTTTAGTTTGTTATGGTCGCGAGTGACCAAGCAGTCTAGAAAAGCTATCTTACCATTTTCTTCGATCTTCTTGGTGAACTGGATGTTCGCGTTCTGTCTGTTAAGGTGTTCGTGAAAATCGTCGATTCCGTCTTTGTCTACGGCGGTGAATGTCTTATTTTTTGGTCTTCTTTTTGCTAATTATGCGTGCGCGTGCCAGACCGCTGTTCTTAGGAACAGTTTTTCAAATCCTTTTTCGGATTTCCCAAAAGAGGGAAAGAAAGGAAATCCAAGAAGAGACATCTTAGCTTTGAAACCCGTTTTCGGATCTTGCGTTGGATTGCAATCCAGATTTCTCATCGAACGCAGCCATTGAGTTTTTGTTTTCCTTGGACATGTTTAAGCCGCCTCCGTCATCGAATATAGTTTTTTTTTCCTTCCAGAAACATGGTTTATTTTGTCAATGTTTTAATTCTTACTTTCTTGGTGTCATAAGCTAAAGCCAAACGCGCGCAATTGCAGTTTTTGTGCAGTTTCATGTTGGAGTTCTTGTGCCTTGGGTACACCCCAGCTATTTACCTTGTTAAATGTCATGGGCGGTTTCTGTCTTCTTTTTGACGTATCCTTGGACATTTCCCATGGTTAATTTATCTCGGGATAGTGCGGTCACACGCACTACACCAATTCCTCACGGTAAAAGGGTCATTTACCACGGTAAACTGAGTGTCCCCTGTAACTGCACCTAATGTTTATTTACACATACATACAGTTTGGACTGAAATAGCTCCTTTAGTTTCTTTGCAAGTGGGAAATATGGGAAATATCACAGAAAGGTCAGAAATAGGCTTTGATAGATTTTGCTCGCAAAAGTAGCTTAAGATGTTACTAACAGTGCTCGTATATTTCTAAAATTATACCAATAATTATGTTAGTTTTTGTAAATTATGCTCATTTTATAAAAAAATTCGGAAATTATGCTCCTACTTTTTACTTTAAATTTGGTAAACACACCTCAATAGCTATGTCACAAACAAGTATATGGCAATTTACCCTATTAACATCTAGAAACTTTAAGAGTGCATAATTCATTGTATGACAACTATTAAAAGTCACTGAAACAATTAATAACCTCCACGCGGACGCCATTTTGGGTAACCGAGCTAGTTATGCGCATGCGTTGTGTCCTGTGGAAAGAGTCCTGGGAAAAGTCCTGGGTCACTTCCCGTGGGACCCAGGTCCCATGAATGTGACAATAAGCAGACAAAAAATTGATTTTGTTACTTAAATTTGCCTGTAGTACTGATCATTTGTTGCATGATCAATAAACGATAATTTTGTGCTGCAAAACTAGCCAGAAGTGCAAATTATGCTAACAGCGCTTTTTTCGGAAAAAAGACGAAAATTATGCCAAATATTATGTATAAAAGCCAAGTCAGAAAAGGTGTACAAGAAACACAGAAAAGAAGGCGGGCGCTGAGGAGCAGTGCTCAATCTCTCTGTTACATGTACGTACATGTCATTTGGGCACCGAACAATACACAATAACAGTGTAGGAGTCAAATATAAACAAACCCCTTAAGTGATTTTTTTTCTGCATTATCTAAGCTTTTTTCTATATGCGATATATAATCAATACAGTCAATGGGGCCTCCATTGGTATCAATGAATGTCTAGACCACAAAACACTCTGGGCCGGTTATTTAAACGGCGTTTAACCAGTGTTTAAAAAAACCGCGTTCTAAGTCATTTTCAGTCTGCCCAACGCTTTTATCTAAACAGCATGTGTCGTGAACAGTTTCATCAAAGCATATGTTGTAGACTAGAAAAGCGGTTATCTTCTTAAATTAACCCTGTAAGGAAGAGATCTGAAGGTCCAAAGATTCCTCAAACCGCACTCTAAGTTAGACTTCGTTTAAATAACCAACTTTCGAAGTTTTAAGTTGGTCGTACCAATACGCGTACGCGCGGCTCTTCGAGCGAAAGGTCTGGCCCGAGTATGATAACAACGATTGATACTGGGGAGAGTGTTTTAAACTCGTTTTCCCCTTTCTCTGCCCCTCGTTTTCACTCATAACTCAAAGTCTGCAAATTTCCATTTCAGATGAAACACTTCTTTTCGTTGTTTTTATCGGGTACTACTTATACGTCCTGTATGGGTTCTGCCATGACTACTCTGGCTTTAAGGAAGTTTGATAATTGCTGTATGCACGGGTATATTACAGACGCGCAAAGACGCCACTAAAATAAAATAAAATAAAATTAGTTTCCTTTATTAACTCCCGGCAGTATTTATAGCACAAAGACTTGTGAACCGAGTAAATGACTGACCTTGTGGCTTCCGCTGACAGGATGACAGGTCCATGGAACGCTGTAACAATTTGATTAATATCGACGAAGCGTCCTCGCCGCCTCCTACAGCAGCTAGCATAGCTTAGCATTTTGTAATGAGCCCGGGGGTTACTTGGGTCAAAGCTTGCTGGGTATGTGCCGCTGGCCTCCCATTATAGTCTATTCTGTGGCCAATTATAGACCCAATCTTAGTCACTTTTGGGCAAATATGTAAATTTTCGCGACCCCAGCTTAGTCACTTTCTATTTTTTTATGTATCTACCTTACATTGAATGAGGAACACTTTTAATTACTTTTCACCTACAGTGCAAACATTCTGGTACGTTTACTAACCGTAAATATGAATAACTGTCTTACCCCAAAAATCAAAAGATGTGCGACCCTATTCTAGTAACTCTATCGAAAATGCGACCTGTTTATAGTGAATCCAGTTGTTAAAATACGACCCCATCCAGCGGCACATCCCTACTAGCCTCTTATAAGGAAGTACCCCCTTTCCTCCCCGCGGGGTAATGAGTAGTATATGAATCCAGTGAACTGAATCCTGATACTGTTATTGAACCATTTTTTTGCACAACCTGACGAGCAATCTTATTGGCAACAATATTGCGTTCGAAGAAGGAGAATCTTGTCGTTTTCCCCGCGGGCCATCTCTATGACTTTACGATGTGGACGCCATCCTGGCATATCTGGCCTCGATCTAATTTTTTTTCGTCGGGAAATTGGTATCTATTTTGTGCCACCAATGAAACATCAGTTAAATGCAGTTAAGGTTTCATCAGCTTGAGCAGTGTCATTCATTCATTCTTCACGTTTGTTTGATTATAGTTTGTGCATCAAAAACGGACGTAAAATATTGTGATAATATGAAAACATGATATCATATTACTTAACACTCCTTGCACCCCTTACCTTCACCTTTCACTTCCCCCTTGCCTTATCAACAAGTTGGAAGAAATTTTTTTAATAGAAGAAACTGTTTATAAGTATAGAGACTAAAGAAGAAAAGAAGAAGCCACGAAGAAAATTAAGTTCTAGTGACAAACCTTCGACAGGCCGTAGCCTTCAAAGCAAGTTTGTCAATCGTTTTTTTTTCTCTGTTCATTGCGTAAGACAAATAGTGGCGAGAGCGCACTTGTTCATCAAATCTCTAGAGAAGATATCTCTGGAAATGAATCAAACAATATATTGCTGATTTAAAATCTTATGTAAATCTCTTGATGAGTTACAAAATTTGCTTGTGCGCCAGAAAAAATAAGAGATCATGCACCGGAAAGCCCCCCCTCCCCTGCCTCTCCGGTTATTTCTAATGGTCCGCCCCTTAGCGAAATGGCCAAGTTTGACACTAGGGGCTGTTTCCATGGAGGAAGGAAGATCCTAGCACCAGGAAGATCCTAGACGGCGGATCATCCTAGCGCCATATGTTTTTTTATTCGGTTTACATGCAAATGGTTGTACTTGTCCCTAGAGCTAGGATCTTCCTAGCTTAGAGGTAGAAAGATCCTAGCACCATGTAAATTGCCTTCCCTAGGAAGATCCTAGTACTAAGGACAAACCAGAAAAACTTGGCGACGGGTCGTTCAGTGGCTAATCACGAACTTGAGTCAACTTCACAGGCATGCCGGGAGTAACGACTGGGATGAGTAATGTTGCTGGCCACTTCTGTTCTCATATCTGAACAGTCTCCCCTACTGCGGAGGAAAGACATTTTGTAAGCGTCCAGCTGGCCGAAAAAAAAAACTATTAATATATATCTAGCAAAATAACCGTTGTGAGGTCACTGAATATACCTTGTTTCTTTTGTTAAGGTAATTTTATCCCAAGCCTGAGTATGAGCCCTTCCTAACCTTAGGGGATAGGGGAAAGGAAGTTTTAGAGTTTCTTTCCTCTCCTTCTCTCCTCCCCCCCCCACCCCCCCCTCCCACCCCCCCCCCCCACACCCATCTCCCCACCCTCTCACCTTTTCCCATCTACCCTCTTCCTTTTTCTTCGCTATTTTCTATTTACATGTTACTTTATTATTATTCTTTCGTTTTTTCTGTT